AAGCCTCAAGAATTGACAGGTTCCTTGTTTCACTAGAATGGAATGACATGTTCAAAGATATTAAACAGATTGCTATGCCTAGAATGATCTATCTTCACAAGCCTATTATCCTAGAAAGTGGGGATTGGGAGGTCACACCCTGTTACTTCAAGTTTGAAAATATGTGGCTACAAATTGAATTTGTTTATGACAAAAGGATAGTGGAATTCTTATATAGTAGTGGATACTCCAGATTTCATCCTCAACCAAAAGTTAAGGAATCTTAAGAAAGAATCACAAAATGGAACAAGGAAGTTTTTGGCAAGGTTGAAGTTAAGAGGAACAAGGCGCTTGCTGAACTAGACCTACTAGAGCAGATTGCTGAACATAGGGCTCAAACTTCAGAAGAAAACTAAAGGCACTCAACCTAAGATTTGAATTACAACAAATAGCAATTGCAGAAGAAATCTCTTGGAAGCAAAAATCCAGATATTTTTGGTTGAAGGAAGGAAATAAGAACACAAAATTCTTTCAAAGAATGGCAAACTCACATAGAAGAAGCAACTGTATTGATAGACAAAAAGTGAGGGAAGAGATAATAGAAGATAAAATGCTACCCAGGGATGAAATCTTGGGCCATTACCAGAATCTATACAACGAGGCAGAATCATGGAGGTCTGCAGCAGACTTTGAGGGGTTGCCCACACTCTGTATATAGGAAAGTGAAGAATTAGAACTACCTTTTGATGAATTAGAGGTGCTGGAAGCTTTGAATTTCTGTGCCCCAGACAAAGCATCAGTTCCTGATGGATTCACTATGACTTTTTTTCAGAAGTCCTGGGAGTTTGTCAAGTCACATATTTTAGATGCCCTCAATTATTTCCATCAGAACTGTCACATGTGAGATCTTGTAATGCTTCTTTTATTGCACTTATACCAAAAAAGAAAGGTGCTATTGAGCTCAGAGACTTCAGGCCTATCAGTCTAATAGGCAGTGTTTACAAGTAGACTGCAAAAATTTAGCTGAAAGAAGGAAGAAGGTCATTAGCAAGCTGGTATCAGGACAACAGAGTGCATTCATGAAAAAAAAAGCAAATCACAATTGCTTCCTTTGATGGCTAATGAGGTCTTGGACTGGAGAATTAAAAGTGGTAAATCTAGAATTTTGTGCAAGTTGGATAGTGAAAAGGGTTTTGACCAATTGAATTGGTTTTATTTAGTCAAGATACTGAAAAAATGGGCTATGGGAACATGTGGATAAGATGGATTTACTTCAGCATATCTACTGTGAAATATTCAGTTTTGATTAATAGAATACCTGTTTTTTTTCTCCTAAGAAGAGTCACAGGGGATTCCCTCTCCCATATTTCTATTTATATATGTAAGGGCTCACCCAGATGCTGGAGAAGGCTAAAGAATTACAATGGATACAAGGGTTTCATGTTGGCAGAAATCCTGCTAATGCAGTATCTGTCTCTCTGATACCCTGATCTATTTGTGGGGCAGAAAGGTCTCAAACCTCAACTTTACTCTACCAATCTTTGAAGCAACTTCTGGCTTACACATTAACATGCTTAAGAGTATTATAAACCCTGTTAATGTAGTACCCAACCTAGATGAGCCAGTTGACATCATATGTTACCAAATAGGACCTTTTCCCACCACATACATGGGATTGTCCCTTGGTGCTAAAGTCAAACCAGTTGGCATATGGAATGGAGTCATTGAAAAAATTAAGAAAAATCTAGCAACTCGATAAATGCAGTACCTCTCAATGGGTGGCAGGCTTAGTTTGGTCAATAGTTTTCTTGACAGTATCCCTACCTATTGCATGACATTATATCCAATGCCAAGTTCAGTCTTGAAGCAGATTGATAGACTGAGAAGGAAGTTTTTATGGGAAGGCAACAACTTAACACACAAATTCTCTCTTGTGAAGTGGACAAGAGTAACACAACCTAAGGCACACGGGGGCTTAAGAATTAGAAATTCAAAACTACACAATAAAAGCATGCTGATGAAATGGCTATGGAAATATTGGCAGAGTGAGGCAGGTTATTGGAAGGAAGTCGTAGATGCTAGATATGGAGTTCAAAATAAATGGTGCACAAGGAAAAGCACAAGTTCTCATTGGGTTGGGTATGGAAGCACATCAATAGTTATCACAATGAATTCTTCCAGAATGTATCCTTTAAAGTGGTCGTCATGTCGGATTTTGGGAGGACAAATGGCTTGGTAACACTGTATTAAAAGAATCCTATACTGGGTTATATTAGATCACCATCAGCCAGAATGTAGAGATTGCTCAAATGCAAGGAGGGTAACAATTGGAACCCTCTATTTAAAAGGAACCTACAAGACTAGGAAGTCAATGATCTTTTTGCACTCCTAGAAGTTTTGGGTGGTCATAGAACTGATGATCAGCTACCCGACAAGATCCTATAGGGAAACACCAAGGAGGCATACATGGCACGAAGAGCTCGTCATTCTGCTTTTGAATAATGACAAATATGTATTGGAAAGCACAATGACGAGCTCTTCGTGCCATGTATGCCTCGTTTGGCAATGATAATAAGCTCATCAGGTTATAGCTGTCCTTGAGAGTATCAGTGTTATCAAAGGCGTAAAACACAAAAAAGCTCTAAGGTCCATTTGCCAAACGAGGCATACATGGCATGAAGAGCTCGTCATTATGCTTTCCTAGCAACTTGTCTTCCGAGGGAGGCTTATGTTTTCTTCATCACCTTCAAGGTTTGGTCTTTCCTATATCTCATGCCTTAGCAACTCATTCACTTTTCCCACTTAGGATCATATATGACCCTCACATAATCCATATGTACTAGTTGACTCTAGGTATAATTGTCGTGTCGTTAGCTCTTGAGAGGTGGCTAAAACTCCAAACATATTCCTCATATATGGTATGTTTCGAATACCATGAACTTAGCTCTCATGTTCAACAATACACGTTAGCTCTTATTCGTCACTTGTCGACATGTACTACATGGCCATGGTTAGGACTTGCCAAACCAAAAGTTTTAGCTGACCAAAAGTTTTAGTCGACATTCGTCACGTTAGCTCTTATTCGTCACTCGTCTTTCTCGATATGTCTTTTCCTTTCATCATAAAGATGCACGCACTAATCATACTAAAACATTATTCTGAGCTCTTCTTGTACTTGAGTCATAAGACGTTCATGTGAACTCATCAATTTGCACCACTTTAGCTCATTGGTGCTTGTCTACTCACAACTTTTTCTCAAAGAAGCATGGGACACAAGTCTTGCTTGCTTGGCTTTTGACTTCTCTATTTTCCCTGTTTGAGTCTCACTTGATCTCATCAGTAGTGGTCGTTGCAATGATTGTATTATTTTAGTTCCTTTGACAAGAATCTTAATATTGTTTAGGGACATAACTTCTTGATATGCCCTTACTCATTCTAATCTTTAGAACTCATTTACGAATCCTTGTACGATTCCAAATGTTTCTGAGAACGGAGCTTTTTTGTCTCCTTCATAGCTTATCCTTGACACCCCTTTAGGATATCTCTGATGTTCGAGGCCAACTGTTTGACGTTATTTACCTTGGTCTTCTTTCTAACTTATATCCCTTTCATCAGTACGAGGGAAACTGGTACCTCTCACATAAATCTTTGCAACTCGCGACATTTCTTAGGCCTTGGGCCTTTCTTTTTCCACCGCATCGTGTGTATATTTACCGTGAAATTGACGGACGAATCATTTAGACTTTACTCTAAATTTCGACGCACGATCTAGAGTAGAACAAGGGAAACTTTCCTAAATGTCGTTGTAGCCTCCCCAATATAAGTGTGGTTAGCCACACTAACACACCTCCATAACACCCTAGGACTCTTGAACCTAGTGTTGTGATACCAAGTTTGTCACGTCCCAAACCTTCACACACACACACAACAACAACAACATACCCAATATTATATATATATATATATATATATATATATATATAT